AGCCCAAATGGCATAACCAGGTACTCATAGTGTCCCGCTGGTGTGTTGAAAGCAGTTTTCCACTCATCCCCCTCCCTTATGTGTACCAGATGATAGGCATTCTGTAAGTCTAGTTTAGTGAAAATCGTGGCGTTATGGAGCATTTCAAAAGCAGACGACATGAGTGGTAATGGGTATCTGTTCCTGACAGTGATCTTGTTGAGCCTGCAATAGTTTATGCACGGTCTAAGCCCCCCGTCGTTCTTCCCAACAAAAAGGAACCCTGCCTCAGCTGGGGAAGAGGACAGGTGAATCAACCCAGCCCTCTGGGCCTCCGTGATATAATCAGTCATGGCCAGCTGTTCTGGGACAGACAGAGAAAACAGGCGGCCTCTAGGGGGCACAGTGCCTGGCAATAATTCTATAGCACGGTCATAGGGTCTGTGCGGGGGAAGGGAAGAGGAACGGGTTTTGTTGAACACTTGTTTTAAATCATGATATTCAGGCGGAACCTATCGTTAAGTTCGGGATTACGTCTAATGACCCTCCCCGATTGGTGCTTTGTGGAACCGTGGAGCGCAGACAGGTGGTGGCACACTGAGCGGCCCATTCTACCACCCGCCTTGCTCCCCAGTCCATCTTGGCCCCGTGTTTTACTAGCCAGGGAAAACCCAATACCACCGAATGACGTGGAGATCGCATGACCAGAAACTGTATTTCTTCTGTGTGTTTGTCTATGGTAAGCGTGAGTGACGTGGTCTGTGTAGTAACTCAATGCAAGAATTTATCATTGAGTGAATGCACCAGAAGAGCTGGGTCCACTATGCAGGTAGGTATCTCATGTGCCTGGATAAACGCAGGATCCATAAAACATGCGTCCGGACCCGAATCAATAAACACAGGCGTAGTAATGTCATAAGCATGGAAAGATAAAACAGCCTGTACCGTGGGATGAGAGGTCGACTTAGCTGTAGTGTAGCGGCTCAGCAGCGCCCTCCTCTTTTTGCTGAGCCCTGTTCTTTTACCGGACATGCAAAGGCACGATGTCCAGGACCTCCGCAGTACAAGCATAGATTCTGCCTGAAGCGACGTTCTCGTTCTTCTGGTCTTGATCTCGTTTTCCCGAGTTGCATGGGCTCTGGGATATCTGATGCGGTGCTGGGACCGGCGTGCGATGATCCCCGGTGGCGTTCCTGCTGGCGTTCCTGGTATCTCCCCTCCAGGCGGGTGACTAAATCCATGAGGGGACGCAGTCTCCTCGGGCGATTGTAGGCCGTCAGGGCATCTTTTAGGCGATCCGATAGGCCGTGGTAAAAAGCGTCCACCAGTGCTGGTTCGTTGTACTCGCTGACAGCAGCGGCAGTGCGGAAAGCGATGATATAATCCACAGCTGACTGGACCCTTGAGATAGTGACATGACCGAGGGAGAAGCGGCCGAGTCGTAGCATGGTGGATCGAACACCCTGGTGAGCTCCACAGCGAAACCCCCAAACGTGTCGCAGCAGGCCGTCCTAGCTGTCCATTCCGCCGTGGCCCATTGTCTGGCTTTTCCAGAAGTAACGTCAAAATAAAAGCCTGACAGGAAGCAACGGAACCGAATCATGACAGTAACCTTCTGATGATGCTACTTGTGTGTATCGGTTCTAATGCTTTGTTGCCTTTATGTAACTTTATTTTAAAACTAAGTGTTCTTTGTTACTATGTACTTATGTACGCATGCACCGCAAGGAGTGGCAGCAAGTTACAGCAGCTGTGTCCTCGTTGTGTTCTTTTCCGTGTTTTTATGAAGTTCTGTTCTGTGTCTGTTCTTATTGTGGTGTCTGTTCTTATGGTGTTATGTCAGAAATTTCCCCACTGTGGGATTAATAAAGTACCTACTCTACTCTACTCTACTCTGGAGGAAGCAGCCCTGCTGTGCACACGTCTGAAACGTAAGGCAAAATACAGTTGTCTCTAGAGTGGGTTTATCACTGGATCCCCAAATTAAAAGGCACATAGAAAAGTACATACAATCATCATCCTAACAGAGCACTTAGCTCTCAGAGTGCAGGTTTACTTGTGGTTCCTAGAATCCACAGAAGTAGAATGGGAGGCAGAGCCTTTAGCTATCATGCTCCTCTTCTATGGAGCCAACTCTCAGTCTCAGTTCGGGTAGCAGGCACTCTCTCTACCTTTAAGATTAGACTTAACACTTTCCTTTTTGATAAAGCTTATAGCTAGGGCTGGATCAGGTGACCCTGAGCCTTCCCTTAGTTATGCTGCTATAGGCCTAGGCTGCTGGGGGGCCCCATGATGATCTGAGTTTCTCTCCTCCCCTCTCCTCTCCTTTCCTCTCTCTCTATGCTTCTATATGCCACCATTACACATCACTAACTTTGTGTCTCCTCTCTCCCGTAGTGTGTCCTCTCTCTCTCTCTCTGTACCTTTCTGCAGGTATCTTGAGCTCTACATCTCTGATGAGCAGTTACCGGTCACATCAACCTGTCCAGTGTTTGATTGTTTGTTGTGTCTTGTTGTTTTTCTTCTTTTCTCTCTCCTCTATCCACTCACCCCAACCAGTTGAGGCAGGGAGTTTTTCCTCCCCACTGTCGCCAAGTGCTTGCTCAAGGGGGATTTGTTGGGTTTTCCCTCTGTAATAATAGTAATAACAGTAAGGTCTAGACCTTACTTTGTAAAGTGTCCTGAGATGACTTTTGTTGTGATTTGGTGCTGTACAAATAATTTGATACAAGAGTCCATGGAAAGTAATGTAGATTCAGTTGAATATTAATATATGGGAGGTACTAGAACATTGTGTTAGAGGAGACAGAAAAAAAAGAAGGAACACTTAAAGCAAGTGTCGGCTTTGATTAAGGTCAGAGAATGGTTGTGGTCTGGTTGAATAAAGTGGCTTTGGACACAACTTATTTGCTGTACATTTAATCAAACCATCACAACCATGTGCTGTGGGTGTTATGACATCAGAACACAAGACAAAACAGGCTCCTCTGTCATCTGAACCCAGAACACACAGTTAGGGAAAAAATTATTTGAACCCCAATGATTCCAATGATTATTATTACAATAATTCAAAGCAGCAATAATTTGAAAGGCAGTTAAATAGTCTGAAAGGTAGGGAATGGAATCACCATCTCTGCAGAGACATAAATAAAAGGACTGAATAAAAGAATTGTCAAAGAGTCAATCATTTGGTCACACCATCATTTCTTCGTTTTGGTCACGTCAGTCAAGGAGTCAAGTCAGTCTTCTCATGTCTCCCCTCTCGGCTCCTCGCTTGCTCCTGTTCCATCTATCTTCTGTGTCCCCCTATAGCCCAACACACTTATTTTTAAGTAAGACACACAAGAGCAGCAACTGCTCGCCTCCCGTACACTCCCATGCTGTTGTTTAAGCCAGATTCAGTTTTATAGCATTACAGCATTACATCCCTTCTTCCAGGAATTGTTTGAGATGGCCAGAACATGAACTTCTAGGTTGCACTGCCCCAGCAAGTCTCTCCCTTTCTAAGACATGAACTTGAGGGTGAGCATACGAACATTCAGTTTGCACAAGGCTGAAGTTATACCCAAGTCATGTAAGCATTTTTAACTCACACTGAGGCCTAGCTAAAAAATATATATATAAAACGTATAGTATATATGTGTGTAATCTACCCAATCCTATGGTACTCTATTACATACTACATATTACCTTGTAACTTGTTTTGTTTTAACCACTACAATACACTGCAGTCTAAACATGGGAACTAAGGGACCTGTTCATTATTTTATGATCAATTCGATCCTCATTTCCTGGGCATATTCATGTTTCTCCTTTCAGCTTTTATTCTTACTGAAACATTTTCTCTTTGCTGGAAAATGAAAAACTGTAATAATAAAACAATTAAGTTACAAAAGCAACTTTAATTTCACATTTCATTTCCACCCACCCACACCCACATACATGTTTTTGGGCCCATTCTTCTCTGTAAGACTGTGCATTTACAGCACCCTGCTGGTGGTGCATAATCAGCAGTTCCTGGGTTTGATTGAGATCCTTTACATGCCATGTCATGACTAGGTGCTTCAAATAAAGCAGTTTTCTACAAATGACCAAAAACAGGGCCAAATATTATAACAGTCAGTCACACAGCAGATCTTATGTGGGAAGCCTGCAGCTCATCAGATGGTCCCTGAGCTGCTGAGGTCTATGGTGTTTGTGTGTGTGGAGTGTGCTCCACTGTCTTGTCGCTGTCAGCGCTGTCGGACTGCTGCTGTGCCAACATGTCTGTTAGCTTCAGTCCCAACACTGGATCCTTGGGCTCTCCTGACACCTGCAGGACAGAAATCATATTGTGACCTACACTAGCATTATACAGGGCCCAGTCATATCAGTTTTAATTAGATAACCAAATATCACATTTGGGGCACAGCACTGAAAACCCTCTGTCCTTAAGTCAAAGTGTTTATTGTCATATGCACAGTACGGAAACGTGTCTCCCTATACAATGAAATTCTTACTTTGCCGTGCACATGAATGCCACACAATACAAGTGAAATATAAAGTAGATACATAAGTAACACAAAATCTAAGGCACTTTAAAGCAGCAAATGAAGAGATATAATAAAAATATATAATAAGAATATAATAAGAGAATGTATGCTACATGGGCGCTGTATGTGCAATAGTTAACAGTGAATGTGCAATTATGCATGTGCAAACTGAGAATGTAAACACTACAGGTCGAATTATATGATGTATTTCCTGGTAATAAACTCCTGTCAGCTATTTAGGAGTCTGATGGCAGAGGGAAAGAAAGAGTTTTTCAGTCTAGAAGTCCTGCATTTCACACTTCTGAACCTTTGGCCGGCCAGAGGGTAGGGATGTGAACAGTCCATGCTGGGGGTGGGCGGGGTCCTTGAGGATGGAGGCAGTTCTCCTCTGAACCTTGCGGTGGTAAATGCTCTGCAGAGAGGTTAGTGGAGTCCTGGTGATCTTCTCTGCAGTCTTTACCACTCTATACAGGTGCTTGCGTCCTTAGATCCTCTCATCAGATAAGGAAAAGCAGGAAGCACAGCAGAGAAGGGATCTTTCTTACAGAACAGACATGTATACAGCCTCCAAACAGACCAGAGCCACATGACCACTTCTCCACTGTGGTTTTCTCCTGATTCTATAATTATTACTTCCTGGGAATAAGCTACTGATCAAAATTTTAAGAACACCCTCATTTTCCAGCTTTTATGGATATTGAAGCAGTTCAAGTCCAGTGTATAACTTTAAATTATACAAAGCCAAGAAGTCACCAAAAACTAAAAATGTATGGAATGTTAATGTAAAACTGGCCTTTTTCCAGGATCAAGTAGCAGATTAATGTGCATCTTTTCTGCAGCAGTGGAAATAAATGAAACCTTGAAAGCTAATGCAAACAATTCCTACAGGTGTCCCAACGTATACTGATGACTTACCACAAAAAAAAAAAAAAAATTCTATCTGTACAAAAACAGTGTTGGACAAGACTCTTACATCCGCTGCAGCATTATTTGGAAAAATTAACAAAGGATGTCAGAACTCTTGGGGTTTCACAGTAACTAGTGTCATTTCAATATTTTGATGATGTTCTTCAGGTTATGTGGCAGCAGAACATTAATTCCTCTTATAAGTGTGTCTGAACTGGAAACAATACATTTCCAATGAAAAACAACACTTCAGAGTAGCTGCTTCTCATAATATCCTTTTAAATTAAATATATTCCAATATGTTTGAATTGTTACAAGGGGTTGTATAGTGCAGATGTGATCACATTACTGCTTGGAGTCAGTCAAATACTCACACTATATGGATGAAAGGATGGATGGATGATGTTATTAATATTCTATAATTATTTGTTTAAATGGCTGAAGAATTGAGTAGTCCAGAAGCAGCCTTGAGTAAAGTGGCAGAGAAAATTGGCATTAAAAGGCTGACCCAGTTACATTACTGTAATCATGGTGTTTTAAAATTGAAATATACTGTATCTCTGACAGATGTGTGGCACAGATGTGCGCGCACACACACGCTCAGGTTATCAATACATTTGTAGCCATGGTTACCGGCATAACTTTAAATTTTATATCTATAGATCATGGCTCACTGGGTATTATGGATTAGTTCAGTTGTCCTAACTGTGTGGGTTCTTCCAGTCATCTGTGCACAATATATAAATATGCATATCATGTTTTTTTTTTTTTAATTAGAAACAGCAAAAAAAAAAGTTTGATGTGATGATCCTATTCACAATATGAGATTGGAAACATAATTTCCTTGACTGACTATTCCAATCATCAGTGTTTAGATGGTGTTTCTAGTTAGTACAGTACTTATACTTTAGCAAGACCCTTACAGTAGGTGCTCCTCTCCTTCTCAGCACGATGCCCTCTGCGAGTAAGGCCTTCCCAGTCTCCTCAAACAAAGCAGAGTCATCCAGCTTTCTCTGGCTCTTCAACTCTGAGTACTTATCCACAAACCTGCAGGATCATAGTGAGAGAAAAGCATTTGCTTTCATCATATTTTATCATAAAACACAGTCAAACATACCTCTGACACGTAGAAACAAAGTTGGATTTGAAGAGATCAAGAGGCCATGGACCCGGCCCGTACTGCTCATAGAACTTCCTGAGAAGCAGACAGTTCAAGGTGAGTGCAGCCTACAGAAATCTCTCACAGTATGATCAGCAGTTGACATCTGTTTAACTATTTTGTTTTGGTCAGTCTACACAAGACCAAGTAAACTTTCATAAACATATTATTACACTCAATACATAGTGAAATCAGTGAACAAAGAATGACATGATTAACAATTGTCATTTTGTCAAAAATACACATAGCTTTAGCAATAGTTCAACTATGGCTGTTTATGTGGTACAGCTTATTATGTGTTAGGAATTATTCCCAGTTGGAAGGACAACCTGATATTAACCTGTATAAAACATACCGTTAGCTTAAAGAAAACTGCAGATGTGCAACATCACGCAAAAAGATGTGCTATTGTCAGTCTTCAGTCTGTTGTAAAGACTCATTACCCAAGTTCTTTTTAGCGACAACTACTGTGTGCCTGTTCACTTACAGACTCTGTAAGCACGGCTGACTTACACTCTAACTTCATCCTCTCTGTAGAATATTTCAGGCACAGTCTCTTGTTTCTTGGTACTGGGTCTGGTATGTGGCTTCACATAGAGGGGGGTCCTCTTTGGTGGAAAAGCCTTGTATACATCATACCAAATGGGTTTCTCTGACAGCTTTATGACTCCAGAGCGCATCAGATCTCGAACCCTGACAACCACACAAGACATGATTAAAACAATATTTCACAACAATATACAAATCCTTGCTATGTAAAATGCCTTGAGATTATTATTATCATCATCAAGGTAATTGATAACTTCAAGTAAGAGTTGTTAATTATATGGCTGCCCAAGAGTTAAATTATGGCCTGAAGTATATAAAGCTTTAAAGACTGAAGTAAATTTTCTCTTTTACTAGCAATTGAATACATACCATACTGCACATACTCCGCACAGAACTGCACTTTTGACAACTTTGTAGAACTTACAACTTAATTTAATTGCTGTCTTAATTTAACATGATTATTTTAGGCATTATAATATCAGCTGTTGCTGTAGCTAAACTCTTTTTCACTCACTAGCCAGCACTGAGGATCATTCTTCAGACCAATTCTCACAAGTTTTTTTTTTGTTGCAGTTTTTATTAAACAACAATGCAAATCAATACAGAGTTTTTCAGTACAAATTGTTGCAACAGATGTATAACAGTGCATTTAGAGCACAACAGGACAAAAGAAGGCATACAATATGGAGGTGAAAAAGAATAACAGCACCAAACAGGTAAGAACAAAGAAAAGAAAATACAAAGAGGCAAAGCTATTCTGATATAAAATTAAAACGTTTGAGCAGGTCAGTGGTTTTGGTTCATTTTTTTGTTAGGGTGGTTTAATTGTGACAGTGTTTGGAAGTAATTGTTGAGATCAGATTGTTTAAAAGTTGAAAAGGATGGTGATTTTTTTTCAGAAGTTTCATTTTATGGATGAAGAATTTGGCCAAAATAATGAACAGATTAATAACAAATTTTTCATTGCTAGGGAAATGGGGCTTGTCAAAAATTAGCAATATATCATATTCTTTAAGTACAATTTCCTTACCAAGATAATTTTTGAGATCAAAACAAAAGTCAGTCCAAAATACTGTAACATGTGCACATTGTAAAAAAAGATGCTCTAAGGTTTCTAGCTCATTGTTGCAAAAGGAGGATTTTTCTTCTATGTTTGGAATGTATTTACAAATAATAGAGTTTCATGGGTAAAATTTATGTAAGATTTTAAAGGAAAGTTCTTTAGCTTTGTTGGACAAGACAAATTTCTAGGGCAAAGTAAAAACACTGTTCCATGTTCTTCCATCAAGAGTCTGGCATGCCCATTTATGTTTAACAGCTGTTGTTGTTCTTGGAATGAGGGAGTTTCTTATAAAGATGTTGCTGAATCTTTTATCAAAGATAGAAATGCCATTAACAGCAATATCTAAATTGATAGAGTTGTGTGTGTTTGAGAAGGAGCATGCTAAACAGAGAATGCCAGACGAAAGTGCATTAATAACAGTATTACACTCATGCTGGGAGACAGGAACCCTGTACTTAGCTATGAAGTGCTCATATGACAATAGAGCTCCATCACATTTAAATTGTTGCTTTACCAGTACAATGTCTAAGCAAGATGTCTTCTGTTGAGTGACATTAATTGAGGAAAAAAGATATGAGGCTCTTGACAGGCCCTCTGCTTTGCTGAGTAGGACTCTACCGTACAGAGATAAATCTCTGGCTAACCAAGAGTTGAATTTCATTTTGACTGATGAGGAGATAAACACATCATTTCCTTTTTAATCTTGTGTGGTTTATTTTTCCAAATGAAATCAAAAAGAAGTCTGTCTAAGCAAGAAGTCTTCTGTTTGGTGACATTAATTGAGGAGAAAAGATACGAGGCTCTTGACAGGCCCTCTGCTTTGCCGAGTAGGACTCTACTGTATAGAGATAAATCTCTGGCTAACCAAGAGTTGAATTTCATTTTGACTGATGAAATTAAAGGGTCCAAATTATCATTAATCAATTTATCATCCTCTGTGATCATAATTCCTAAATATTTCACTGTCTTTTACTTGGATGTGTTAAATAACTCAGTTTCTACAATGTCTTTAAGAGCAAAGATCTCAAATTTACTTAAATTGAGGTTGAGGCCAGACACTTTAGAGAAGTTTTTTTTTTTTACAACAGATAAAGCATGAGTGACTTCAGTTTTACTTTCTAGAAATAAAATAGTGTCGTCTGCTAGTTGCAAAATTTTTATTTGCCTACCATTAAAGCAGATGCCTTTAAATGGATGCTGATTTATTAATAAATTAAGAACTTCTCCTACTAGTAAAAAGAGGTAAGGAGAGATAGGACAGCCAGGCGAATTCCTCTCTTAATGTCAAATCTGCATGATGTGGCAAAGGGCAGCTTCACAGAGCTGTTGTTACCATAATATAAAGTTTTGATAGCTTTAATGAAAAAGTTATCAAACCTGAAGAAGCTTAAGGCATCAAAAATGAAACTGTGGGATACTGTGTCAAAGGCTTTTTGAAATCTCACAAGTTTTATAGATAACTACAAACAGGACTGGGTCTTTGACGCACGTTTATGATGTCACCACGCTCGTGTCACTCGGTCATTCTCTCGGGGAAAAAAAAAAAACATGATTTACCATTAACATTACAGAGCATTTGTTGATTTTAGATTTGTCTCATACATGTTGGTATCGCGTGCCTTCATTTACAGTCAGAAACGGACTGAGATGCAGTCGGACCTAGGTTAATTGTTAATATTACCGTCCTGACGTAGCTGAATGATATCTAGTGATGCTAATGATAGCATCACTGCTCAACGGGGCATAACGCTGTTTGCTTATGTTAAATGATTTGTGAAACCCCAGTTTTAACTCAAGGAAACAGCGTGGCGCATTGCAAATATCCAACATGTAACGTTATTTTACGCAGAGAAACTTCATTTTATTGCGCTTGATCACATGGCTTTCTTTTGAACAACAATAAATAATGATTTTACTGATATGACATTAATATGCACTTTTAGCTGCGTAACGTTAGCTACCACAACCCTAACAGATACAAACTGTGTAAAATGCTGCTGTCTTACCTGGTGAATACAGTTCCAAACTTCTCCAGTCTGCTGCCAGCCATTTGGCTCTTTTTTAATCCAAAGCGAATAGCTGTGTTTTGCTAGCAAAAACAAAGCTACACCATCCGGTGGGATGTTTGTTTTATCAGAATAAAAGTGTGATGCCACTTACATCCAGGTCAACCCAAATACAGTTCCCTGCAGCTTCAGTTGTTGTAACTGTTTGGATTAATACTGTAGAATAGACCGGTTGGGTAACGATAATATTTTCAGGTGTGAGTGGCTAATGGTAATTAAACTTTACACTATTTCCGGAGCACATTTGAACTTTGTCTTTCGCACTTTTGAACAAATACAATTATACTGTTCATATACAGGGTTATTCAAAAAGAATGAACCGATTTCATTACGCATTGCTTCAGTTCTCAACCATCGTCACGGAATGAGTCAGCGACCATTTGAAAGAGGAGTTATCTAAGTTTTGATACCCACTAACCCCGATGACCTTAAACATCGAATAACAACAGCGATCAACTCAGTGGATCGTGCCAAGCTAATACGCGCCTGGGAGGAATTCTCTTATCGCATTGATGTTGCCTGTGCTGCAAGTGATGGCCACATTGAACACTTGAAAGATAGGAAATAAAAGTTGATTGTGAGTGGAATACTTGTGACTTGACTGGAGTTTTGTATTACTTTTCCTTAATAAAATATTGCGTAATGAAATCGGTTCATTCTTTTTGAATAACTCTGTATAATTGCACCTATATGATTTGAATCAATACTTTGTGCATGTGATGGTCAAAGGAAATGTTAAAAATACATTTTGTGCTTTTATTGTGAAGGCTAAATTGCCAAACCGGATTTTTTTTTTCTTTCAGCTTATTTGTGAGAGTGATTTTTTAAAAATTTGACATTTAACTTCCGGTGACGATTTCTTCCTCCACCTATAACGTCATTTGGAGATTTCACTTTGACTATTGAATTTTGACATCGGTTTTTGGCATGTTGGTCTAATTTTATGTTTTATTGATGGACTGACATTCAATATCTATCTAGGGATAAATGTGCATATACATCAAACCATGTAAGGACTGAAATCTGGATAAAAAAATCAAGTCTGACTGTTTTTCCAATAATGACTCGGGAGGTAGAGCGGAAAGAAAGAAATAAAGTCACTTTCGGCTTTTCCCGTTTAGGGGTCGCCACAGCGAATCGTCGGTGTGACGATTCGCATGTTGACATTTGACACGTGGATGCCCTTCCTGGGGCAACCTTGATTTGAAACTGGGCCGCAGCGGGGAGCGCGCTGCGCTTTAACCACTAGCCTGAGGGTCGTCTCCTAACTGGAAGGTTAGTAGTTTGATTCCCAGCTAGTCCAGTCCACGTGTCGACGTGTCCTTGAGCAAGCCCAGTTGCTCCCATTGATGTCACCAGTGCATGAATGTGTGAGTACTTGGGAGTGTGAATGGCCAAATAGTGTGAAAGCACTTTGAGTGTGCTGCAATGCATAGAAAAGTGCTATACAAGTATAAGACCATATAGTGCCATTATGCTCAAAATCTCCATTATATAGGCTATCTTACTTAGTACTGTGTCTGATATGTGGTGTGGGTGAATATTTTAATGAACTGCCAGTTGGGCCAATCACAAATTTCTGCTTTTGCAGACAATAAGTCTGTATCCTGCTTTATTCAAAGCAGTGTTAAGAAATGTATGTCAAAATTTTAATATCTTCTCCATAAATGTTACTGAAAATTGCAGAAGAGGGGCAGTGGACAAGTCTGCATACACATGGGGCAGTGGTTTAAAAAAGTCCATAAGCTACTGACCTTTACCTGCTTTACCTTTTTTTATTTTGGCTATAAAGAATTTCAGTGTATGTAATTTACTTTTTGTCTTTGAATGTGTATTCTGTTATCCACACAAATTTGGGGTGATAGCTGCTGTGGTAATTATGGCACCGGTGACAGTTTCTCATTTTTAATGTTTAAAATTAAAGTATAAATATAATACATTCATGTTGAACAGTACAAAACAAGACAAAATGAAGAAATAAAAAGTAAACTGTCACCATTTGGTTTGCATGTTTTGACCCAAACGCAGGAAGCAAGACAACAGGGACAGTGCAGACAGAATTTATTGCAACCAGAGCAACAGGAAGACAGCATGGCTTTTTCCTAGGCAGATGTGAATACAAACTCAGGTAGACAACATTACTTCTTTTCCCACCAGATAATACACTAATGTAACTTCTCTTTTTCAGCAGGTAATACAAAATTCAGCTAACCCTGCTCAAAATCTTTTAAACATTTAAAGTCTCTTGATTCAAAACTCATGAGCAAAGCAAACCAAGCAGAGGTGTAAAAATAGGCAAAACAGACCAACAACTGATTATCCACAGAAAACTACTTGACTTCCTTTGAAGCTATGAATAAATTCTGTATTTAAAATAAATTCAAGAAGTAAACTTAACACAGTTACCATAAGAGAGGGTTGGCATAAAGTGGGGTAGAAGCCTAGCATAGCTTCGCATGAAGTGAGACTTAATCAGAATTAACCTGGGTGTGGACCAAAGATCATGTGACTGCGTGGGAGACAAAAACCAGGGCAGAGGAGATGACCAAAGCTGACATGAGTAGCATTGGTGACAAAACACTGACAAAGGGCTGTGGAGTGTGACATCACAATAAAGGGCCAGGCAAATGATTTTTTTTAAATATTACATTAGGATGGACTACAAACTGACACAGACTGAGGCTGTTAGGTGTAAGGATTATTGTTTCTCTCTTTTAAACCAGATAGTTTAGTTAGATGTAAGAAATAATTTTAGAATAAATAGGTTGATTCTTTTTAACTTAGGAGAAACTAGTGTTTTCCCCACATATAATGAAGTTTAACACCAATAGTTTTGTTAGAGGCGTGAGTTAAATTTAAGATAAAAATAAATAGGGTAATTCACCTCCAGAGTAAGGATAAGGATAATCACCTTTATTGGCCAAGTCTGTTACACACAAGTAATTTGTTTCTGGTACAGAACCAATGGCGCCACCTCAACTGATGGCTCTAAAGATTGGGGGCACCAAGATTTGAACCTTCAACCTTCTGGTTGGGAGATGACTGCTCTACCCACGGCACCACTGTTGCCTCCCCCTCCCTCTACTGAGATTAAATCCACTGGTGTTCACCGGCATCTCTCCCAGGGTACCCTGGTAAGTGATTAATTAATCATAGTCTATGAATCCCACACCTCTTACTAAACAGCTCAACGTTGATTACCCTTTACATGAACAACTCAACATTGATGACCTTTTACACGTTGAGTAGCTGAACTGATCCTGTCATTATGGGACACTACAGCCCTGGTGCTCATCTAATGAGACCCAACCAAGCAATTTATTGTTGAGGTGGATGCTTCGGACACAGGTGTGGGTGCCATCCTTTCTCAGAGGGCAGAGAAGGACCACATCCTCCACCCATGCGCCTTTTTCTCATGTTGACTCCCCCCTGGGGAGCAAAATTATGATGTGGGAGACAGAGAGCTTCTTGCTGTGAAACTGGCCTTGGAGGAATGGCACCACCTTCTGGAAGGCACAGATCAACCATTTATGGTATGTACAGACGATAAAAACCTCACATATCTACAATCTGCTAAGAGATTCAACCCCAGGCAAGCACATTGAGCGCTTTTCTTCGCCCATTTCCGGTTCACCCTCACTTTCCTTTCCTGGGTCCCATAACCAGAAGCCTGATGCCCTGTCTCAGCGGTTTAGTCTAGCCGTCACTGAGGGAGTCCCAGATACCATCCTGACCTCATCAAGGGCGGCTGCCGTGTCCTGGGAAATTAAGGAGACTGTCCGTGAGGCTCAACAGTACCATCCACCCCCAGGAGATGGACCCCCAGACTGGCTGTTCATTCCAGATTCGGTATGGTCTCAGGCCTTACAGTGGGCTCAATTCTCCCGTCTAACCTGCCATCCCGGCATACACAGAACTACCCCCCTCTTGAAGTAACACTTTTGGTGGACTTCATTAGACAAGGATGACAAGGATGTAGGTGAGTTTGTCCAAGCTTGTCTAGTCTGTACCCAGTCCAAACCATCCCACCAACAGCCAGCAGGGCTACTACGCCCCTTACCAATTCCAAGCCGCCCTTGGTCTCACATTGCCGTAGACTTCATTACTGGACTCACCATCCAACAGCAACACTGTCATACACATCATAATCAACCAATTCTCCAAAGCTGCTCATTTCGTCCTTCTACCACAACTACCTTCTGCCCATGAAACGGCAGACCTTTTAGTATATCATGTTTTTTGTCTCCATGGTATCCCCACAGACATAGTCTTGGACAGAGGCCCACAATTCGTATCTCAGGTATGGTCTGCTTTCTGCTCAGCCATTGGTGCCAAGATCAGTCTCTCCTCCGGTTTTCATCCACAGACCAATGGACAGGTGGAGAGGCTGAACCAGGAGCTCAAGAACACCCTACGTTGTGTTACTGGGACTGAGCCAGAATCCTGGAGCTCAATGTTATCGTGGATAGAATACACCCACAACTCTCTTACCAGCTCTGCCTCCAGATGGACCCCCCTTTGAGGCTTGTTAAGAAAATGATTTTGAAGGTGTGGACTATAGCTATTTTGACTGATAAAAACCACTCAAACCTTTTGAGTTTGCGCCACACGAGAAGAATATGCTTACGTGAGCCATGCCTCGCCAAAAGCTTTCAGAGGATCTACGATCAAGAATTGTTGATTTACATAAAACTGGAAAGGGTTATAAAGTGATTTCAAAGACTTTAAAAAATTCACCAGTCTGCAGTTGAGCAAACGATCTACAAATGGAAACACTTTGGGACTGTGGTTACTCTACCAAAAAGTGGGCGCCCAGTCAAAATGGCCCCAACAGCACAACGAAGACTCATCAGTGAGGTAAAGAAACAACCTCAAGTGACAGCCAAAGATTTGAAGGCATCATTGGAACTGGATAACATCTGTGTTCATGAATCTACATTATGTAAAACACTGAACAAGCAGGGTGTCTATGGCAGGACACCAAGAAGGAAGCTGCTGCTTACTAAAAAGAACATCGCTGCATGCCTGAAGTTTGCAAAAGAGCACATTGACACTCCACAGCAGTATTGGCAAAATGTTTTGTGGACTGATGAAACTAATGTCGTGGCTAGAATGTGATACCGACTAAATTAATTCAGACAAGTCATCCCTCCTTAAATGATCATTTAATATTACAATTATTCTGAACAGAGTAGTAGTTGAATAGATACTCTTGTAGCTAGGAAACAGAGAACAGAATCACTCTTCCTGCAATGGAATAGATAATAAGGAGATTGTCAGAGCACCAGTCAGTCATTGTTGGTCACGTGGTACCGTCAGGGGTCCAGTCCGTCAGAGCCCGGCTTGGTCGGGGGTCCAGTCAGTCCTGATTTCGTTCCCCCCGACCCCCCAGCCTGGGTCCACGGTACACTTTTCACGGTAGCATTCTCATCCTGTCTTCCTCCTACACCCTTCAGGC